GGGGCAGAAGTAGGTCCCCGGAGAGCGTGTAGCGGGAAGCACAGGAGATAGGAGTGGAGAGAGGAAACGTGGCATGGTAGACCAGCGGAGACAGAAGGAAGTAGAGAAAGTGCCCCCGGAGCATTGGTTGTTGTGGTGGTGAGAGTTTTCATGGCGATGTTGGCTTAGCGTGGCTGTATCAAAGAGAAACGGCAGCCATCCGCCGTGGCCCAATGTTGGGGTATGTCGTGACCTTTTTGTTTCCAAGGCGGGCAAAGTTTTGGCAAATGGGTTGTTGTCTGTGGGTTGTAGCATATATCCCCTTTCCGTAAGCATACGCGCGCGTAGACTGTCATCGATTGATGCCAAGTATTTCAACGGTTGCATACGCACCGCACTTTCCCACACGCAATGCTTCTTTTTTTTTTATCCACGGTCACAAAACCCCTTTGTTGACTCCTCGAACCCGGTGCTCGTTCGTTTGTTGTCTGCGTGCTCCTGTGGATGAACCGACTCTGTCACTCTGTCTCTCTGTCTCTGTCTCTCTGCTCTTTCTCTCTCTCTCTCTCTTTCTCTCTCCCTCTCTCTTTCTCTGTGTGTCCTTTTCGACCGTTCGATCGAATGGAATCGACATCGACATCAACATCGAACCATACCGAACCAATATCGCATGGAATCGGATCGGCCGACCAATCGGAAAAAAACTTGCTTCGGTTACATCCCCCGCCAGCTGGAACCGGAGGCTGAGCCAATGAGAGAGACGCAAGTGGCGACGAAGGTGGACACCAGATGGCCCGACGAGGAGGACGAGCCCGAACCGTGGGCCGAGGGAGGAGGCGGCGATGGTGACGGCAGGCGCGGAGGTGGTGGTGGCCGCGGGGGGGGGTTGCGAAGACGGTGGTGATCGTTTTTGTTGACTCGAATCGAGAATTCGTTCCTCGTGGTAGGGAAAGGGAAGGAACTCGGCGGCGGTGGTGGCAGGTTTGCGAACATGGTGGTAGTTGTCTTTTTTTTTTTTGGCTTGTATGGAAAAGTCGTTTGTAGTGTAGGGAAGGACCAAGGAGTGGTAGTGATGACGGTTGTTTACATGAGCGGCGGCAAGCGCGTGCGAAGGGAACGCTCCCAGGACTGCTTGGTAAGTCGGTTGAGATCCCAAATGAGTCCCTCGCGTTGGATGGTGTTGTCTTGGAAGCAGACTCTTGGGCTGCATGTATGAACGAAACTCTCGAGATAAAAATCAACATCGGAAAAAATCAACATAGGCAAGAGTGGCTCCGTTTGGCCAGGAAATACGAAAGAGAAATATTGTGACTTTCGGTGTTTTCTTTGTCTTGGTATTGTCCACCAACCAGAGCTCGATTTTCTTATTTCTTCACATCGCGGCGTTTTTGTTGGCGGCGGGGTGTTGCAGAGATGTGCTCGGCTCGGCTGGTTGACCTTGCTTGATTGCCCATTCTTTTCGCGGGTTGCTTGCTGCTCTGGCGGAGGTGCCCACGCCCAGGAAATGGGGGATCGATTAGTTATCGGTTTCTGTCGACACTCGGAGTAAAAATGAGCTTGGTCTGAGTCGTTGCTGCATGTCCGTCATTCAATATGCTTCGGGAATGAATAAGAGCTTTTCCAGACTAAATTCTTTTTTCGTGTTGAAAGGTCGTGCCTTTGGTTGCGCCACTGCTGTTCGGCTATGGAGTAATCGTGGCGGGGCTTAGATGTTGTGCAAAAGAGTGCCGCAAGGTAGATAAAAAAAAAAAAGCTCTCATCCTATTGCTTCCTTTAGAGCCAATCGGTACGTCCAAGTAGTCCCCTGGCCATGCCTATGTTGGGAGATGGCTGATGATTTGACAATACGAAAAAATGTAACCGCCCTTCGCTGTTAGCCGCCTCTTGCTGTGGGAATTTATTGTGGTACTCCCGTAGTTGAACGTCATACGTGGGGTGCGTGGGAAGCCCCCCGGTGAGTGCGGGCGGGAGGAGCTAGTTCATGCATCATCCCTGAATCCACCCACCCAGCGCGTTTGGGCGTCCGCTTGGCTCCAGGCTTGATCATTTGACAACGTGCCGGTTTGCCGTCACCATGCCAAAGGTGCGCGCGGGGAATGTGATGCATTGTCTTCATTTTTTTGGCGTGATGTTATCCTGACTGTTTCGTGGTATGATCCCTCCTTTTTGTTCTCTCGAGCGGTGAACGCTTGCACGACACATTCTGTGGAAGCAGGCGGCGAATCACTGGAGACCAAACCCGAGCGGTCGCTGAACGAAATACACCAGGCCCCAGGTCCCCGTCCCTGTTACAGTAGACTCGACCTCATGAAGCAGGCAGAGTCTCGCGTGTCGCGCGACGTTTGCTTCTACCCCAAAACTCTTCCATCTTTGTTCTGTAGCTTCACGCAGGCTTCCGTCGCGTTGTGATCCAACCTCGCATTAATAATATGCACATGTACATCCAGCGGCCGCGTAACACCGAAGAAGTTTCAGATAGGCAACGCCGACCAAAGTGTTCGCGTTTCGATTGTTCCCAATCCGCGGTTATCCTCGCAGGGAGTGCAAACAAGCAAACAGATCGTGTAGGAACATGGTCTCGCTAGCGCCAAAAGGGGGGCTGCTGCTGTGGTTTTCGTCCACATGCAATCCCGAGCACATTCGAAGCGCTGGCTGGAGCGATCTTGGCTGGTACCCTTGGTGTTGCCGTCAAACGGTCGGGGACGAAGCGTCAAGTTCGACCATGGCCGCCTCCCGTGTGGCGCGTGAGGTCACCCTGAGCAAGAGCATTTGATAAGACCACATGACCTGCCACACACAAGAGAGACGCAAACCGAAGAGGAAGAAAGCGCCGAAAGATGGCTTGAAAAACGCTACCACATATGTCCAGATAAGATTTGGTCACTTTTCATGCTTCGGCGTGTCTTTCTCTCGCGGCAGCGAGTCTATTCTCGCGATTCTTTCTCAGGGGCACGCAGGAGGCTCGTCGGTACCCTAACGCCCGTGCCCGGAGCTCGGTAGGCCTCCGTGGCGCTTGTGTTTGACGACCAAAGTTGCGAAAACTGGCTCAAAGCCCCGGGGACTCGTTCCGCGCTGAATGAGCCTGGCGAACCGATTCTGAAACCTATCAAACCCATCAAATTCGACGGTTTGAAGTATTTGCCTCTTGCTTCTCCACTTTCATTCGTTCATTCATTCATTTATTCGATTGTCCAACAGCAGTACCTACGTCTACACTTCGCAGCGGGCCAAGTGTAGACAAGTCTGAGAGCATGCATCCAGCCGCAGTGTCAAACATGTCCCATTTGTGGTGTCCTTTCGGCTTCAAATTCGGTTCTCATCGGAGATCTGCCATCATCGATGAAAGACATCATGGAGTCTTTTTTTTTGCTGCGAAAATATTGTCTGCTCGAGCTGGCTCCAATGTGGAATAACAACGTGCGCGATGTTTTGTACGGAATTACAAGCAATGTAAGACACACGGTCCCTCTTCGGGCAATGCGCACGTGGTCTTGCGTCACCTGAGGGAGGGTAAACACCCACGTCCCGAAGGGAGACCTTGTAGCGTGTAAAATATGCACCAACGCAAGAGTGAACAAGAGCAGTGAACAATGAATCCGTCGGTGTGTGGCTATCGCCTCTACGGTTGCGGCAAACCGTCGACCTTGAACAAACGCACGCTCGAAAGTCTAAAGGCGTGTGCCAAGCCTTTCTGCTCTGTTGCTGATGTGGAACTACCTCAGCGGCCAAGAATGACCAAACCTGCGGAGAATAGCCACGCACATGCTACGCCAGGCAGGATAGAAAATAAAAGTATGAAACTAGCAAATGAACAACAAGGTTGGCACGCCAATGAAAGCCGGCGCGATCGGTGAAATCTCGACGTCGCCGACGAACCACGAGTTGATCGGGAATACAAGTCGACGCCAATAAAAAAACGCGGTTCTAGGTTTCGGTAATGGGTTTTCTGTTGCCAGTGTGATGACACTCCGCTTGTCGCGGCTACGGCTGGCTGCCGTCACCATCAAGCATCAAAACAATCAACTGTTTTCAACTTGTCTGGCACAAATTCTCCGTCTAAGTGCCACCATTCCCCGCACCTTAGATCGGTACATCAAGGGCAGCACTATCCGGAACAGCCCAACAAGTACATAGACGCCCCACACCGGGTGCCTGCGGTAGCTCATCTCCTTCGCTGCTCGTATTGCCATCATCACCGCCGCCATCAGGTACTTCAACGGACAGAGCCAGAGGTTGAATTTCGCCGCGCGTGGATCGTAGCACCACCAGGCCCGAAGCCCGAGGCAGCCGAGCACGATCGCCATGGCAGCTTCTCGTCGTGCCCAGAGGCCAGGAGGCAATCGGCGCGGCACATGACCAATAAGAATTACAGCAGAGCGGTGACAGGGTAAACAAACGTGACTTGGACAACCATGTATGTGGAGGATATCGCCTACTCTAATTTTTATGGCCATCATGCGCGTCGGCTTCTCTCGCTTTTCTTGTCTAAGCAGCACCCTTCCAAAAAGAGATGCCGTCATTATTGCTCGGCCTCAACCTCCCTCGCCATGGCGCGGCATGCAGCATCGGTGAAATGTAGTAGAAAAAGACATCGTCGTGGCATATTGCCGAGCCTGCCGTAAGGTTTCGAAAGAGTATATATTCCTGGATGTGCCCACCCCCCACGAGTGAGTGTGTACAGTGCGGGCTCGCAGATATGAAACGTCAAATTCGGGTCGAGCCTCAATCCCTCCCTTTGGGTCCAAGGACCAGTCGAAGTCGTTCATTTTCTTTAAAGGCATTTCTCATTCCTTTGGACTCTGTCGCATCGTTCGGATTCTTTTATTTCTTACTTCGTATGTTTTCTTTCTGGGGTAAACGTACATTAACACACCAACCGTTCATGCCGCATTAAGCAGAAAGAAAGTTCGGTGTGGCGAAAATAACCGCTCTACCGTACAATAAAATGCATTGCTCAGCTAGGTCGCGGGGTGGGAGCACGGAAGGAGCGGCAGTGGGACTTTTCTTATTGTAACGTTCCTCCAGCTACCCTTTGTTTCTTATGTCGTAGGGGTATCGCACCGTCATATTTCTTATTGGGACGTTTCTTATGTTGTTGCCGAGATTGAGCTGTGTGTCTCAGCCCTTTTTTCTTATCTTTCGTAAAAATTAGATCCTATTTTTCTTCACATAATTTTTCTTAACCGCGGGCCCGTACTGTATGGACCATGTGTAACGCGTTGTGTGGTGTTCACATTGGCAACTATTTCTACAACGAGGGTCTGAAACATCAGTCGAGGCATTGAAGGTAAATAGTAGGAACGCGGACAATGGAGAAAACCGGCGGGATCCGGAAGGGCCAAGACAACAAAAACGTAAAAGGTGACATTTGCTACGATATACTTCATGAAGTACCAACATAGGCTGGTTCTTCGGCCAAAAGAGGAAAGACTGAGCCTCGATCCGCATTTTACGCCTCTAGGCATCAATTGTACCTGACATGACCTTGGGCACCAAGATGTCGTGCGTCAAGGTGAGTGCCAGAATTCCGTTGATGAGACGCTCGCACTTGTATGGCATAATCTCAAGCCCTTCACAGTCCCTCGCAAACTGCAATCCAAGCAGAGAGAAAACGTTAAACAGACTCCAGCACCCAAGGCTCCTCCGGATTGCAAGTCGTCGTGGGGCGCCAGTAGCGGTACCTCTTCGCCTCGCCAAGTGCATGCAAAATTACAGATATTGGACCCTCGCTGACTGTGACCGATCCACCAGGACATCTGGTTGAAAGCTGGAACGTCGCCGTGACGAGTGTGATTCGCGCCCGGCAACCAACTACTAGAAATACGAGGTAGCGAGAGAAGGGAGAAAATAGAGGTGGGGAGAGAGAGCGAGAGAGAGAGAGAGAGAGAGAGAGAGAGAGAGAGAGAGAGAGAGAGAAGGAAAGAGAAAAGTACTAATGGTATCGCGCAGGATTATCTTCCTTGACGCACGCAGAACCCGCCGGTAGGCGCGTTCCACCTACTACATGCTGTTTTCGAGACACTCATGCTACCTTGTTTGCATGCCCGCACACAACTTGTGATGATGTGTGACCAATCAGGGCGACGAAAAAACGGTACACATGGTTCATTTCTGTCACGACGGCAGGAAAAGGTGGGTACTGGTAAACACTGCGTCTTGTGTGCGACGAGAAGTTTCGTTCAACTTCATGAACAAAAGACGAACGAGGGCGGTGGATTGTGACCAACAGTAGCAGCGGGACAACCATACGAAAAAATGACTCACCTCCTCTAGTTCCTCGGCTAACACCGTTGACGTGTCCGCTGCAAGACGACAACCGATGGACACGAACGACAGGATTCCACGGATGAGGTCAAAAGCTGCAATAATACCCACTCCTGCGGACATCAGCACCCCAAGAACACCAGCACACGAGATGCAGGGCAAATGTTAATCCTTGTTGACGTTGTGAGCGCAGTAACGACAGTGCCATGGACTTCGCTCATGAGGTATGCGGCGGCAAAAAAATCGACATGAAGAGGCGCTTTCTCCATTTCTTCGGGGTGGGGGGGGGCATGCCCATGCTTTGCGTGGCTTTTCGGTTGGATAATAGACCATGCGTCCTCGGGAGGACGGAGCATTGTTGCCACAGGAACCATCACCGATGCGGTGGTGTTGGGGCGATGTACTCATGAAAACGTATTCCGTAGTCCGTAGACGATTGGCCTGGGAGAGCAGCGATTGGCCTTGCGTTAGACGCGTGCCCCCTGGAGCAGACGAACGTCGGGCAGGCACATTTCAGGTTTTGGGATTGATCGCTTCTTGCCATGGTACAACTTCAGGGGATGTATACAATCGCACATATTGCAACAACTGAGGAGGCAACAGACACGAAATAATTCTGTAGACCAGTAATGCATATCTGGTCTGCGCAAAACGTTCGTCCGATACGCGTATCAGCATGGCGGCATAGAGTTATGCCCTTACCCATCTCGAGGTCCCAGCAAACTCCGACGCTACCGATCGGTCGAGATGCAGGTTGCACGCGGTTGTTTCAGCCCCACAGCGTCCATGATCATACAGGACGATTGCGAGCGAGCGGGAGTGGCGGGTTGCGGGGGGGACAAGTCAGCAAGGTCAGGCCTCTCTGTATGAGAGAGTGCGCGTATGAAAATAGAAGCCTGTCGTTCAACATGTCGCAGCACACCTGCATTCACAACCCGGACCGACGCACTACCCGTTCCCCAAGAAGCCAAAACCTCTCCGGGGGAGAACACCGACAAAGACGCGAGCGAGGGGGAGAGATAAACACCATGAAAGTCGTCCTCCCCGAAACCAATACTACTAAAAGTTAGTGTAGCCAACAAATGCTTTTTTGCTACACTAATAACAATCTCATGACCAAACACCTGAAATGTTTGAACAGGAAAAACTCTACATGTAAATGCTTTACACAGCCATTCCAGTGCACGCGGTTTTTATTTTTCATTTGAACTTGCACAGTAGTAGTAACAGGGGGGTAGAATATGTTTGCAGCACAGTGCTGCACGTCTGATAGAAAAAAAAGTAAGTGTGAAACATAACTCGGGCGGGAAGCCATCCCCTGCTGAAACCCCTCGATTTCTTGCTGCGCAACAACTCAAGACCTCGCCTCCCACGGCCGGCTTCATAGGGCGCAGCAGGGCTGAGAGCGTCGATATTCGGGCTGAGATAGGTGAGGTAGCTATCTGTCAACCGTGCAGCCATTGTTTTAACAGTCGGGGCTAGTCCGTAGGGGTAGATTTCCAGTTTTTTCTCAGGGCGTACCACCGTAGGGCAACTTGGAAATCTCCGAGTAAGGGTCGGATGCGCTGCAGTCTCTCCACGAGTCTATCGTGTTGTAACGAAATGTCGCCAACATCATGCACTCAGGTACTGTTGACATCTTTTACAAAAGGTTTGGAGCGATTTGATCCGTCAGAAGATAAGCATGTTGAGATCAAAGTTCAATATTGTTGCGCTATGCTGGAAAGATCCGAAACGCAGGTCTGCATACATGCACCGCAGCACAGCAGATTGGGTTGTCTTAAAGTAAACATACACTACACATGTCAAACTGCTGTGGAAGTATCAGAAAGCAAGCGGCGGGATACACTCACTATCTGTCGACCTAAAGGGTCCATGGTTTTTGGTGATCAAGAGAGGGTGGAAGCAACTTTTCTGAACCCCAGACCACATCTAGAGAAGTTGACGTTCGAAACGAACGCATCTTTGTGGATGGTCCGCGGTACTTCGATATTGTACACGAACTAGAACCCCCCCCCCTGATTTGTACAGTATTATTTGGATTACTTTCGATACTCCTGAAAGGTTTTGAGCAGTATCCTTCCAGGTGCGAATATAGAATTGATTTTATGGTTGAATATGGAGACACACGCACCTGACTTTGGGATGGGATGCCACGAGTGAATGTCTGAGTGTCACGGTACTTATTATCTATACACTACGGATAACGCTGAGTTAACTACTTCCTCTTTGTGCGCGTTACGATTTCAGGGTATCCTTGGCCTAGGACCTGTCCGTAGAGGGAGGATCGAACCGACGCGTGATGAGACGTAGAGCGTGCCCGCGGAAGCGGGGGGGGAGGAGCGGCGACAAGAGCCATACAGAGCAGACCGTGACACCACCTGCGTCTCCTCGCCCTGAACCAAGACGTGGACGGACATGCAGTCCCGCTGAAGGAAAAGCGACACCAAGGAGGACGCGCCACCCACGTAGTCGCCCCCCACGAACTCCGTCGAATCCTGTTAATGGTAGCAGCGGGGGGGATCTACGGCTACTTGTCAACGGGGAGGCGGCCTGGGCACCGCTTCCCCAGAGGCTACACCCGCAAGTACGCCTGGCGTCGCAACTAAGTGAGTGGCGAGATCCGGCGCGCGTGGCCGAGATCCGAGAAGCCGCACAGGATCCGGTAGGAAACGCAGAAAGAGACGGACGCTGGGGCAGAGGCAGCAAGCCGTCTTTGAGGGGAGGATGGCAGACGAGGAGTACAGTGAGCAGAAAAAGGAGGCGAGGCAACATGCTATGGTCCGCAGAGAGCGAGAGATTGCCGAAGCTGAACGTGACAAGTTGGAGTCTGGAGGCAAGCGGACAGTTGAATTCCGGCGTCGAAGTTGCGGTGGAAAGCTTGGAACAGCTGGCTCTCGCTCCGTCAAGCGGAGTGCAGCGCGAAGACAGTCTGATCCTGGAGTTAGGAATACTCAGATCGGAGCCGAGAAAAAAACACGCAAGAAACCTTGTAGGCGTGCGGAGTGCGGTTGGTTCACAAACAACCCGGGTCTCGAATGCAGCATGTGCCCCTCAGGCGTAGTGCACGCCGTCAGTGACAAGCTATGCTCCGCATGCCATAGGTCGGAGGGCTTAGCTGGCTTCACGCACCTCAGAGGGCCACGGCTTGAACGAGCGACACGGTTGTTTTTGGCCGAGTACCAAGAAGGAGAGGGGGAGCTGCCTCTACCTCTCGTGCGAGGATTTTGTCCCAGCAACGACTGCATTTGCCAACGCCGAGATTGTTTCTACGGTTTTCTTCTCGAGAGGGAAGCAAAGCCGGAGCTCCGAACATGTAGCGTGTGCAAGAGAGGGTACCCTGTGAAGGACCAGACGAGGTGGTACAGTGTGGACGTCGTGGACGATAACATAACGGAGGGTGGTGGATCAGGACGCACACAAGCTTGGTACTGCCAGGCCTGCAATCAAGCTCGAATCCGGGCCATCGGAGAAGCTACTCAACAAAAGGTTGCGGCATCGAGCAACTCGGGCCGACCTAAAGCCGATGAACCGGCGCCGGAGAAGCCGTTCAGCTGGGTGCGCGCGTTGGTGATTCAAGCCGTAGCTCGCGGGGACATCCTTTACTGGGAGGATGTGTTCGATTGGCTCTCAGCTGAGCGCGCAAAGGATGGTGACCAAGAACTTGAGCGTAGGAGCGGGCGGAAGGCCGTGCGCCAGATGTTCGAGAGCATCGCGAGCGCTGATGGGAGCCAAGCGCGGGTGGTCAGCAGCGAGGGGGGCTTTGGAGACGGGCGCCAACGACTACTGTGTCTCTTCCCGGTCAACGCTCGGGACGAGGTTATCGCATCCCTCGCCCTACGGGCGCGCCTGGCGAACACGTTCGATGGTCCGAGCACGCCCGCAAACGCCACGTCCGGTGGAAATACGTCCCTGCAGATCGTGAGGCGTCTTCTCGAAGAAGCGAAAGAGGCAGACGCGAGGATGGAGATCGCGCGTGCGGCGGCAGAAATTGTTCGGGCCGATGTCGATCAGCATCATCCAGATCTCAAGAATGCCCGCATCCGACGGCAAAAGCACAAGTACAGCGTGGAGTTGGCCGCACCCGGGAAACCAGTGCGAGATGCCCTAGCTGAGATGCCCCCGACATTGGTTGGACTCTTCCAAGGTATGACGAACATGCCCCTGTATCCCGAGATGACCGATATAGGGAGTGAGGATCCCGGCCGGGGCTGGGCGTGGGATGAAAAAAAACAGACGGTCCACAGCCAATCGCAGCGGGGAATGTACGGCGAGAGGATGATGGGAGCGATGGAGCCGACGCGCTTGAAAGAGCCGCCTGTGAGCGGCAAGTCCGCTCTCGCGATGCCACCCGGGCAGAAGAGGTGGATTCTGCTGGGCCGACGTCCGAGGAAGCTGCCACTTTCATCGAAAAAAACAACCAGGATAGGCGAAGCTTCGCACGGCGTTTGTACATGCTTTGCAAGTGCACGGTGAAGGCGATTTTTCCTGGTCGACACTTGACAGCGGCGGANCATCGAAAAAACCAACCAGGATAGGCGAGGCTTCGCACGGCGTTTGTACATGCTTTGCAAGTGCACGGTGAAGGCGATTTTTCCTGGTCGACACTTGACAGCGGCGGACATCAAAGGTGCTCAGTGGGCGAAGTCAAAGGGGACCTGCCGGCAGGTTATCGACTTTGTAGCAGGGCACGGCTTGTGGGCTACGACTTCACCAGTGCAGCATCGAGAGGACTATCATGCGAAGGTCGTTGAGGACAAGGATATTCTCCCCAAGGGGGCCCAATGCGCGGCGATTGCAAACGACAACTGCGATCACGACCCGCGGGTCGGTGAGCGCCAGGGGGAAGGACCGCATATTTCGTTCATATCCGCAACAGCTGTGACGGTGGGGGACAATGTGGGTAGGATCCAAGACGCCGCTTCGCTCAGGAGACGCAGATCTCTTACGGTGGATCAGATTACACAGGGGCTGANTGCGATCACGACCCGCGGGTCGGTGAGCGCCAGGGGGAAGGACCGCATATTTCGTTCATATCCGCAACAGCTGTGACGGTGGGGGACAATGTGGGTAGGATCCAAGACGCCGCTTCGCTCAGGAGACGCAGATCTCTTACGGTGGATCAGATTACAAAGGGGCTGAACCAAGAGGAGGGAGACCGGCGGTTCAAGGATTTCGAGCGGACACTTCGCCGCGCCGCCGTCGACAGTGTGTTGAGCAGCTCAAGTGAGGATAGCCCTTGGACATGCGTCGAATCTGAACTCCGCAAGGTAAGCATATTATTTCGACTTGAGAGTCATCTTAACAGTATGTTCAAACTTGCCACAAGACGCGATAATCTCCAACACATACAGCACAACATTTACCCGTCCCTCGCGTAAAATCGTATACGACGTTTCTATTTAGTTTTTTTTTCAAGTCGTGGCAACCCATTCCGATGCTGGAACGGCATGCTCTCCAGATTGATTTTGAAGGGTAAAGGTTTAACGGAGGGCATACACTGGTCGAACGCACACGGTGTCCCCTTAAATATCCCGCGCCATCCTTTGATTGAGGGGGCTCGGTTGTTGGAACGATGTGCACACGAGCAAACTTGTATCGTCAGGATGTCAGGATAATGTTTTGGAAAGTAGAACTATCTCAACCTGTAGCGGTGAAGCAGATGTGTCAAGAATGCTTCGAATAGGCAAATGCTCAAATGATTTTCTCNTGCTCTCCAGATTGATTTTGAAGGGTAAAGGTTTAACGGAGGGCATACACTGGTCGAACGCACACGGTGTCCCCTTAAATATCCCGCGCCATCCTTTGATTGAGGGGGCTCGGTTGTTGGAACGATGTGCACACGAGCAAACTTGTATCGTCAGGATGTCAGGATAATGTTTTGGAAAGTAGAACTATCTCAACCTGTAGCGGTGAAGCAGATGTGTCAAGAATGCTTCGAATAGGCAAATGCTCAAATGATTTTCTCGTTCGTATGCACATGTGTATCCGACGCAGCTCGTAACACCTGAGGAAAGATCTGAGGCCGACGGACGATACGCGTTTGCCCAGCGAGGATCTACGAAGAGGTATACCGTTCCCTATTCGTGATGGAGGATGGGGTGTGGACGGTGGACATAGAGCAGAGCATCAAGCTTCTCGCGACCATTTTCTACTTCAGGTACGAGGCAGCATTTGCCGGTGTTGCGACCACTCCAGGCGATCTGCTCCGCAGCGTGAATGACAGCGTCAGGAACTACGTGGACCTCATCCGAGTGGCCATCGTCAAGCTTGGCAAGAAGAGGACGACAGACACCTGCCCGACTTAAAGGTCGATGCGCGAGCAATGCCTGAGGATGAAATCTGTCGACGGGTACGGGCAAGATGGATTCAAAGACCACATGCCAGAACGAGACTTCAACGGAAAGGGTTGGGGTATCAACCCCAAGGCGAAGGGCAGTAACGCGTCAGCACTCACAGGAGAGAATTGCGTTACGTGGATGTCGGAGCATGCTTACATCGGTCCCGATGGAAAGATGGTCAAGATGACGTGCGGTTGCGACCCGGTGAAGGNAAGATGGTCACGATGACGTGCGGTTGCGACCCGGTGAAGGCCTTAAAGCATAACTGTAGGGGGTGCGGGTGCAAAGGGCGCAAGTGCTCCCTCGCTTGCGGCTGCAGGGGCCGTTGCCATTTGGCTCGCAAGCCTGTACCCGGTGCACCGACCGGCCAGGCCACGTACTCCGGTCTTGCCGGTGCTGCACACTCCGCAGTCGTTGCCAGCGCCATGACGGCTCTTCTGGCGTCCCGGAACGCTAGAACGGGCGAGGAAGAGGAAGACCCGGACGATCCCGGTTCGGACGATGACGACACCGGCCGTTCGGACAGTGACTCGGACGATTTTCTGGAGCTGGAAGCGGAAGAGTCGGCTGACAGCGACTTAGACTCTGGTGAGTCCGACCCTGGANGGTGACAGCGACTTAGACTCTAATGAGTCCGACCCTGGGTGGGGCGGTATCGGTGGGGTCAAAGCTCAGGACGATGCAAACTCTGAGGGCGAAGCATGGTTCTGACCGAGTTTCATCATGTGTGTTTGGCCATCCTATCGCTGTTCATGTTTATTCTTGTGTAGACATGTGCGAGTGTTGATGTCGCCTATATTTTGTTCGTCGCCTAGTGATCATGTTGGTGTATCGCGCCGGTGCCATACCGAGCCCACATAATGCGGTCTGCGTATCGTGTTTCAGGTAACAAACTTCCGCGAGATGATTTCGCCCAATGATGGCTCCCCCGTTCGGCGTTGGTCAGGATTTAATGGCTTCGACCCCCAGCTTGGGTTTCGAGCATGTTTCCGGGTGAAGCGGATATCGGCTGCGGCAACAATGGCGTTGGCGCAGGGTTTAGGCAGTGGCACGGCGGGGTTTCGGGAGTATTGATTACGTCTCCCTGCGCTTATTGTTCCCCGCGTCCGGGAATGCAGCGATTCAAGTGCTTTTATTTTCTCAAGGTTACATGTGCTGTAGATATATAGTGTCGGATTCCTTTTCTCGTCAAGTTTAAAGTTCTTGCGTTGGGCCTACGGTATCATCATGGTGTGCACAAAGATACACACACGGCAAACGACGTTGTTTTTGGAGCTTCACCCTCATTTTTTAGTGAATATTCTCTGCGTTCGTAGGTCCACCTGACGAATTATCTCACGTTCATCAAAGTTGTTAGCAAATCTCTTGTTCGTGCGGGCGGGGGGGGGGGGGGAGTCTGAATGGAAACACGCGAACTCACGTAGGGGTACTTCAGTTTCGTTCTTTACTTGTTTTCGAAAGATGCACGACGACACAACTCCATTAACCAGTCGGATTTCACCGGAGTACAAAAGGGATCCATGCCCGTGCGGGCCCCAACGGGGCATCCTGACGGCCGCAGCTGCTGCTGCGTGCGTGTGCGCCGTATTTTTCTGTGACTTTGTTTGTCTTTCGATGTGTGTGTATGGCAGCGCAACACTACAGGCCACTGTAGGAGATAAAGTAACCGTTTTCAGTTCAAATATGGACGCACGCCATTTGCAATTACTTCACCTGTACTGCGTGTTGCACCAAAGTTCAAATTGCAGTAGAACCGTGAGCCTCACAGCAAGCCCATCCTGTGTCTCATACCACGAGTATCGCGTCCAAAGATAAGCACGCTTGATCCGTGCAATACCTCTTTTTCCAAGCAATAAGTACCTCTCTCTCGGAAGCACTTCTGGGCACAATACTCGATATGTGTACTCCTCGTGTCATTGTTCATAATTGTGTAAAGTTTCGTGTCGATCGGTTAGGTATAGGGCGCGTTCTCGTGTTAAGCTTGCCGCGCGTGCACACCACAGGAGGTTCGGCCGCAGCAGGGGCATGGATCACATTTTTTCGGCAGAGTCTCGGAGCCTGCGCCGAGCAGTTCTCGCGCTATCGTCGACGAAATTCCGTGAAACCAGCTTTTCCTGAATAGCTATTGGTCTATTTTACCTGCTGTACGCCGACAAAGGTGGCAGTGCGGACGTCTGATCGCCGGTGGGCTAGCCAACTGCCATATTTTGTGTTGAGCCGCTTTTTTTGTTTTTTATCAGGCGTGCAGTACTGAGCAAGAAAGCGCAGAGAAAAAATTGATTTTTTGAACTATCAGACTGACATGTCTACATTGTAAACGATGAACATGCATACCATCACCCACCACTAAATCATGTAGAGAACTAGAGCTGCACGCCTTCCGATATACTACCGTAACTCTTTCGAATGGTACGCAAGCGCTACAGCTGGCTGCTTGTTTACTGGCGCATCATGATGGTATAGTCCGCCCGCGTGTATATAGTGAAACATTCAAGATCTATGCAGGAGGATAAGTGGGTTGGTAAGATCAAGAGCCACAACTTGCGACACACCCAGTCAAATGCGTTCTCTGCCCTGTGCCACGTACAGCTGCGATGAACAGGGTACTTCCTGCATAGCGTGGAGTGTGTTGATCTGCGTGGACGGTGCCCTATTCGCGTATTTTCGTGCTTGTACATACATGTCAACTGCGTGATAAGCACGACAAAGCGTGGGGAGTGAGATCGACTGAATGTTTCCTTGCGGTTGAGCCGTTGAAGGCGAAGAACAGACGGTTTTGAAGTTACGCATATGACAAAGCCACTAACTGATAAACATTTACGGTGTGCTGCATTGCTGAAGCGTTTTCCCAGTGCCAAACGCCTATGTCTGCTGGGCCGAAGCCGATCATCGGCCGCGTGGAGTGGCACAACCCTCGCAGGGTGGTCGACACGATTCCGTCTCGACTACTGGTATCTATACCGGTACATGTGCAGCTGTCTGTTTCGATACAACATTTCGGAGTAGTTATTCGCAGCAAGCTGTCTGCTGCTAGGCTGGGAAGCAGCACCGGTGTATCCCGCACGCCGGGACAGCAGTAGAAACACTCACCTATCAACAGGACCAGGCTGCCACCACCACTTCTTCTTCCTTCTCCGCGACGGAGGCACCACTCCTCGCGCATCCCGCTGTCGGTGAAGCGGAAGGGCCACCGGATGTCCTTGAACGAGCTCGGTGCCGACCGGCACATACGCGGGGTTGTCCTGCGACATGGGACCAGTCGGCTTGTACACAGGTCCAATCTACTTCAGCGCCGAAACTCGACACTGCCGGTGTAACGAATCGAGGGCTTCCGGTGTACTACTGCTGTACTTCGAGGTACATGCGTCGTAGGTCGTAAAAGGTGAAATCCGGAGCAAGCACTTGATCTCCACATAAAGCGCCGACAGGGCAGCTTTTCAGGTCCAAAGAAAAATCTCGGAATATTTCTGACAGTACGCTGGACAGTCCGGCAATTTCAAGATGAAAGGGGCGCACGAAGAGCGAACACGCTGTGAGCGCCCCAGCGGTGGATGTGGCAGTCCTTGCGATGATGACTTTCAACCGCCAGCTGGAGGTGGAGGAGGAGGGTGCACATACCTTCCTGTACATCCCGATTGGAAGACAGCATCGTATCCTCTCAAGGTGTGTCTGGACGAGCATTTTGGTGGAACTCCATGAAACGTCGGTTTTCGGCCTCTCGGCGAGCTTGACGCGCACCGCACAGACTGCACATTAAAGAAGCAGCCGACCTCGTGCATACCATGGCGCCGCCTGGGGTAGGGGACTCGCTTGTGCGCACCATTACCGAGGAGGGGGAATTCTCCTGGGAAAAGTGCTTGGCGGCCAGCGAACAAAGACTGTTAGGTGTGCGACGAACGTGAAGAAATCCTGTGGGCTACTGTGCTCGCACTGCTGGGTACTGCTGTGTACGAATGCCTCCCACAGATACGATCTATTCTGCATGTTTAAACCGATATCGTAGTGCACACAACAGTGTCACGTCCGCACACTACCCGCGCTCTCAGGGATGGGAAATATGTTCCGGGCAGCAGTGCGTTCGGCATTCAGCTATATCGCACCGCCGTGGCATCGAATGGCAGTATACGTACACGGTGGAGGTGCCAATGTTGCTGTCTCCTACAGGTTTTGTCCCTCCAAAGGCAATACTGAAGGAGAACACTATTGAGACATGCAAGCTAAACGCACGTGCAGTAAAGGAAATATTGTTGTGGTAGCTCTGAGCAGGCTCCAAGAGTACCTTGTAGTGGCAGACCACATGGAATTATAAGTACGGAAGTTTGCGTTAAGATACCACCCCCTGGACATTTTTCAAAACTCGATTACGCCTGTGCGGAACAAGCAGGGACGTCCGTCAAGAGGTGTCCGAAGGTAGCATTTGAGGCATCCTCTATCGAACGTTTAAGTTCGGGCCAGGGGGGGGGTGCCGTATCCCATTCGACCTCCGGAATGTACCACCTTTTCCCTCCTGTGTAACAGGATTTTGACATCGTCTTATTCCATCTTCTGTATCCTTGAAGCAGAAATCCCACACCGGTTGCACGCATCAAAAAGTCGCTGATGTTTTGCACGACCCAAGCGTACCGCTGTTCTCCTGTTCGATTGTCGGAATCCATCAACAGTAATAGATTGCCACCAAGACTGGTGCGGGCGGTGCGAGACCTTGCAACCCACGTTCCAGAGGATATCTCTTGAGACGGTAGACAGCGAAAATCGTTGCCTGTTTCTCGAGGTGAGATTGAATTTCCCATATGGTTGCGTGAAGTCTCCGAGTCTTGTTCGACTTGCAGCACGCACAGAAGAAGAGATCGCCGTTGTGGGTGGCAGAATTTTCTCGCTCGTGTCAGCTTGAGCGGTGCCGAGTAAAAGATCCACCCATCTTGTCGAACGACACGTTATGTTGACCTTCGGCCTACTACAGTAGTACAAGGTACTGGGTAGAGGGAGATCGGAACGGTTTTTAATTTGAAGACAACAACAACAACAAACAACAGGTACACCTCAACAACTTCCGAGTCTGTTCGAGTCCACCGCATGACCCATGAAAACGTATACTACTCAGATACTGGGGAAAACCGAAAGCCGAATCTAAACTACATCTATCCCTTCCTCTGCGTTCAAATGTCACCCTTCCGTGACGTAGCCGCTCGTGATGCTCTCCAAACAATATCACAGAGGAGTGTATGTATACACTAACCCGCTCCATACTCTAACGTGCACCGTCAACAATGGCGCAGGCAAATCTCGACAAATTTGCGGACCATATTCAAGCCTGTCTCCCGAAGGACAGCCCGATGAATCTCAGCGCCCACGGCTGCATGCCGTTCACCGTTCTCATAAAGGTGACCATAGACAGCGACATTTTCCATACCGGCTGTAGGCTTCGTTGGTGGGAGCGGCAACAGCTGTACACCATTGCGAATGCCCGACGTGTCATAGGGCAGGTTGAAACGCTACGACTGACAAGCAATAAAAAACGATCTCATGGTGGAGGTGCAAGGCCGGGAGTATAGGTTGCAAGTTTTCAGGGAACCAGCGAGCAAGCGATTCAATCCACTGCATGAACACAGCCAGTTGCAGGCTCTGTGGTTGCTTTATACTCGTGCCGAGCAATAGATCCAGGACATGATCTGCAGAGGGCTAAACAAGACACTGTGGGCCTGACATGATCGCGTGGCCAAAGTTTGAGCATGAAATATGGGGGAAGCATGTGCTGTATGTCTTTTTACCAGGCGTGTACTACTGTAAAACGTTTCAACACCAAAGTCACGAATCACCAGCTGTGCTGCTGACACTCCTGTGGACGCTGACGTATTCCGCTGCTAGAAACGCCAAAGCGCGGGTGCGCGATCCCAAGTCGAGCTCGGCGGCATCCTTCTTTCTTACACTCTCGTGTGCGTTTTCCTGTCCCCAATGAAAACGCCAAAAATCACCCACAGGGAGGAGTCACGGTGGCAACAATACGAGGATGCGATGCCCCCGCCATTCTCCGCGAGGTGACCAAGCACATGCCTCCTCAGCGCACGAGCGACGACAAAGACGCTGAGCCCGAGTCATGATGACATGTCAGCGACACTCGAGTTGACGCGGAAAAACAGAAAACTGCTGCCTTGTTGCTGGTTCTTCGGTGTACACAGGAGGAAACGGTGGAATGGCAATAATACCGCTGTCATACGCGTCTGCTGTTGTTTCGGAAATAAACGTTGCAGCATTTCATTGACGAAGGTTTACGTTGCAAACTCCAGCGTGTAGGATAATATCAGTGGGAGATGTTTCAGGGGATACCCTAATAAAGGCGAGATGGGCGAAATGGTTACACTTTCGTGTCTCGGAAAGCGAGAGGGCCTGTCTGAAAGGCCGGAACGCAGCACGATTTTGGCTTCCAGTTTTCACACATCAACCCCTATCGGCCTGAACGACACAACAAGCACGTGTGACCTGACCGCAAACAGTTAGGGTATGAGTCTACATGGGACTCTTTCGTCTTGAGCTCTTTCCACAGAACTGACTAAAGCCGTGGCCTTAGCAATAGCCCCAAAACCGCGATGTGCCGCCAAACACCTCCGAGGCTTTGTGCGCTGGGCCAAGCCGATGGGTAGCATCAACCAACGGCAGGCACGCAAGAGCAACAATAAGAGCTAACCAACAGGGGAATCCAAATGGTTATCTCGTTTGTGCTCTCTATGTCACCCGTCAGATTGAATAGACTAGGCAAAAATTATTTTCCGTCTTTGCTTATACCGCTTTCTTGCTGACAAAACCGTCGTCGCGAAGTACCGCTCGTCCCGAATCATCACAACGACCTCGCCAAAAAACAAAAGAACTTGTAGCGCAACCGAGAATCTCTAACCAGTACGGTTGCCTGAGGAAAGTCACGTTACCAATACGGGAATACCACGTGGGATATTCCGATCTACGAAGCTTCCATAGCACACGTCACCTGCCGACACCTCTCTCTTTCGCCCAGCATGAATCGTACATCACGGGGTTCTGTTTTCCTTAACTCGTTAAACACTTCAAATTTCTACTGCATACATGATGGGCGAGCCACGCGCACACCACGCATACGGGAATCGAGTCGCGCTTATGTCGTCCGGTGGACCTTTGTGCGGCCACCAGAGACTACACCACCATACTTTGTGTAGAGAGAGTTTGTGCCACGAGAACGTGCGCACCAAGCCAACACATGAAAGCCCGACACCAATTCTGCATCTCTCTTGTGGCACACTTGTTGTCCAGATATTGTATAGCAACGAGGATTTCAATCACATCTTTACGTTCACTCGCCCCCCCCCCCCTACTGGAGGAACCTGTCTATCTCCTTGCTCTTGCTGCTGTTGAGGACGAGCTCGTTCAAGCACGTCGCCTTTTCCCACTTCACCCCCGTGGGGCTGGCGGGGCTCGGGTGGTTCACCACGACAACCTCAACGTCGCCCTTTCCTGCGGCGTTGAGCCCGGACGCCTTCACCGCCTGCACACAGAGAAAGCAAAATGTGTCATCAAGCCGGCCACAGTTGTAGCACCGGCAGACGAAATGACCGAACGAGAGAGAGAGACGAAGAGTCAGCCAAGCAGAGACTGTAAGTGTACAACAAATACATGGGGACGACGACGAGGGCTCGCGGGACGGGGCGAATAACAAGAGTGTGCTTCAGTGTGAGACGCTGACCTAGAAGAAACAAATAATGAGGACGTTTCGAAGGTCAAGTTTTTGAACGAGTACCAAAGTAGAGAGCGGCATGAATGGCGGACGAGAACCAGGTACGTGCCACGGTCTGTATTTCGGTTTGCCGTAGACGGGAGGAGGGAAGAGAAGATGCCCTTTGGCCTTTCCACCCCGACCCTGACGAGGGCACAACAGTTGCCGGCACTAGGTGTGCAGAAAAACAAACGTCACCCTCGAACATAAGAAAAAACTGGAAGTTTGGAATCCAGCCAGACGGTACCGCCAAACACGAGAATAGTTTATACCCGAGTTTTCACGGCGATCGGTACTTGCGGCTTTTGAGAGCACTATAATACCTTTCAAACTACCCCGAAGCGCCTTTTGTTTCGATCTTAGAGTAGTTGCAAAGAAAGCGCACGGATGACTTAACCTAACCCTCATGACGCTTGGCGCTGTTCAAACTACTCGAAACGTCTTTTGTTTTTTCGCTCCTACAGCAGTTGTAAAGAAAATGTATACGGACGACCTGACCTACCCTACCCTACCTCATGACACTTGGACCCAGCGAAGTTTCCGACGGCGACGACCACGGATGGCTTCAGCGCCGACACCATCTCCGCAAGGGCGTCACCGCAAGCCTCGTCGATGACTTCTCGCTCTGCGGGCGTCAGCCTGCGGTACATAGTGTAATCAGTTTGGTGTTTTGACAAGCCGAAGTGATGAGTGGGGGCGACGGCATCGGAGACAGGTTTAACGGGGAAAAAATGAGTGTAAAAGTGTATTTTGTGCTTCCAGTTAAGATCCATCCGATATTCCCCACTGCCGGGGTATTGCCAGGAAAATGCAGAACTAGTTTTCATATGACCGAATACAGAAGCAGAGCATCAGCCCACAGACTCACTTGTCCGGAGTGATGTTGCCTCCCGAAGAGCTCATGAAAGTCAGAGGGCAGAAGTTGTACACGAACATGTTGTCTGCGTGTGCCCCGCCCATCCCCAAGATAACAGAAATGAAGGTGATGTCATCACGAAGAGCGTTCGTGTCGGGGGAATGAACGCGACAACGCAAAAAAGGAGCAAGAGTTGGAAACACGCAGTTCTACCAGTAGCCGCAACAACAATTAATCTTCGTTTTGTCGAGATGTTTCAACAAGTACCGGCTGACACGCGTTCAGGACATGAAACACACGATTGCATGACGAGGCCGATGCAACCAGGGATTCGGTACGGGTTGCCGCTCGAGTGTGCGGTGTAGCACGACACCCGGGCCCAAGCCTGATCGGCGTAAGTTGAGCATGTTAGTGATTTCCATCAACCGCTGATCGCGGATGCATGCATTGGGAAAGAACACATACTCCAGGAGCGCACCTCCCCACGCATCCGCCGTTCCGAATCTCCGTTCGAAAAAGCCCCACAGACGGGTCCCGCTGACCTATGTTCGACGAGGAGGGAAGCCGGAGACACACACACACAGGTTGGCACGGTCGAAAGTATGTACACGTACACACCCATGGGGTCCCAGTTCATGGCAGATAGAAGTGTTTTGTGTTGTCAACAGCACTGGCTGATGTCTTTCATTGGCCAGCCGGTTAGCGCGGTCGATGATAATAATAACACACACACACACACAAACACACACGGGGACCCGCATCATGGTCAGCGGAAGCATTCTGTGTTTTGAACCGCACTGAGACTGGCGTCTCTTCATTGGTCAGCTGGATAGCGTGGTCGATGCTACCTAAGAAAAACTAGACACACACCGTCATGGCGTGTACAAGCCCTCCACTTTTATAGCCGCACGGAAGACACTGATGTCTGATATTTGGTCAGCCGGTTAGGGCGGTCGATTTCGATAACGAGCACACGCCCACACACAATGACAGCACTTGCTTGTACACTAGTTGTTAGAACATGCGGTCGCGTATCAAGCAGAGATGAAACTAAGCATCGAGAGCCGACAATCGACGCACCTCGCTGCGCTGGCAGTCGAAGCCGCGCACCGGTCGTTTGGCGTGTTCCTTGCTCGGCCGACCGATTGCCCCTCGCACCTTCAGCCAGTCCCGAACAAACCCGACTTCGCCGAAGGGGACTCCCGTTTGCACCTGAGAACAACAGGTCGAGATGGCGTTTGGCACATCATGCGACACATGAGAGGGGGGGGGGGGNGGGGGGGGGGGGGGGGGGGGGGGGGGGGGGGGGGGGGGGGGGGGGGGGGGGGGGGGGGGGGGGGGGGGGGGGGGGGGGGGGGGGGGGGGGGGCGTACTCTTGTGTTTTGCATGCCTTCGTGGTTAGACCATTGAACATACGTTCTCTAGAAGACGGAGCCTTGTTCCCACAACAGGACCGATCACTGATGGCCAACTCTTCCTTCCTACTTTGCCAACGGTGGCTCAGAAGTCTTCCCTAGTCCATTTATCCTTGCACTTTTCCGCCTTTTCAAAAACACACATGACAGGGGGGGCCGAGGTAACAAATGGGGACGAGAACATCCTCCTTGAAGACCACGGAGCTGTAGACCCGATGCAGTTCAACCGTAGGGGGGGCGTACTTATGTCTTGCATGCCTTAGTTGTTAGCCCATTGGCACATTTGGCCTCGTCTGTATGCCTCGCTGCCTTGCCCCCAACCTTCAGTTTCGTATCTCGCCCCAGCCTTCTGGCCCGAGGCAGCGCATTTTCTTATCACACCTGCGCATCATGTGTATCGCTTCCATTCTACTTCGTGTCAACCCCATACACCTCCACGTTGGTGCGAAACAAGGGGCGGTCACCTAGACCTCTCGAGCGACTTATGTCCTGAAGGTGCAGCCGAGACGAACGAAAAAGCTAAAATATGAACCTCCTCACCCGGCGCTAACCCTATCCTCTTCCACCCTCTGCCGCCGCGTAAAAGAGGGCGCCTACGGTAGTTTTCTCACCATACCCCATGGCCCCGGGTTCATGCCCACAACGAACGCCCTTCCGAGCGGCCGCCCCCCGCCGTACCGCTGCGTGTAGGCCTCGTTTGTCTCTGAGGCGTACTCGAGGACGTTGTACGAGCATGACACCGGCTGCTTGCTGGTGCCCTTCCACTTCCGGTCTGTTTTCCGCAGGTTGAAAGGGGAGGGGGGGCGTACTCTTATGTTTTGCGTGCCTTAGCTGTTGGACCATTGACCACGCGTCCTCGAGANATTCCATGCCTCAAACATCTCCCTGTACGTCCCATCTATTTTTCCCAGCTCAGTCACGTACACTTCTCTCTCCTTGTCCCACGGACATTCCGCGACTATATGAACACGGTCTTCGCATTCGAAGCCGCAATCACATTTGAACACGTCGTCGTCTACCGTCCAATGTCTTCGTCGACGTTCTCGAAGGCCTATGTCCCCGGTCCTGAAGTTGACCTTAAGCTTTGTTCTTGCATCCATTGGTCCATGTAGGTAATCCTTGAACCCTATTCCTTCCTTCAACATTTCGTACACCTCCGTATCCTTGGATTCTTTCTTTAAATTATGTTCTCTNGACCTTAAGCTTTGTTCCTGCATCCATTGGTCCATGTAGGTAATCCTTGAACCCTATTCCTTCCTTCAACATTTCGTACACCTCCGTATCCTTGGATTCTTTCTTTAAATTATGTTCTCTCTCGGCACAAGGAACAGATATCTTCTCCTTGAACCCCTGTAGACCCTCCGTTTCCAGCGTTTCATCTTCGTCGATGTCGAGCCCCTTCCATACGTCCTCTACAACC